ATCCATCCATCCATCCATCCATCCACATGCATATCCATCCATCCATCTTTCTTCCCCTGCCCCCATGACTGCTGTTCCAACCCTGTTCCCCCCTGGCCCTGGTGACTGCTGAACCCCCCCCCCCCGCCCCCGGCCCAGGATGTGGGGCTGTCCCCTACAGAGGAGCCCTGGGGGGCTGGCGAGTACCTGGATTATACCCTACCCCCTGACCAGGACCCTGATGGTGACTACTGGGAGGAGACAACGGGGCTGGAGGTGATTCCCCGCTCCCCCTGGGAGCCCTGGGCTGAGGTAACCGCCCTGGGGTTGGACTGAGGGGTGGCTAAGGGGCTGGATGGGAAGGAGCAGGGGGCTGAGCTGGCTCCAGGGCGAGATTTAGCTCCCCCCTAGTTCCCACAGCCCCACTGTCTGTCTCAGTGGGGTGGGGCCTTAAAGCCTCCCCATGCAATTCAGGGCTGGTCCCCCGAGAGCTGCCTCTGTGCTGATCCCACGATGGGAGAGATGGAGACCCTGGGGGAGAGGCTCCAGGGGGCAGAGATAGGGGTCTGTGGGGAAAGGACTGAGGATTTGGGACTGGGGGTCAGGACTCCTGGGTTCTATCTCCAGCTCTGGGCGGAGAATGGGATCTAACGGGTTAGAGCTGGGAGAGAGGGGGCTGGGAGTCAAGGAGGTCTGGGGGATCCAGTTTCGGCACATCTCCTTGAGCCTGTCTCCCAGTAGGCGCCGTGCTGGGCATTAATGCGTTGCTGGGTTTCTTCTCATTCTCCCCTTCTCCCCCATCCCGTGGGGCAGGAGGCTCCCAGCCCGCCCCCTGCCGCTCCGGGTGAGGACGAGGTGCTTGTGGAGGAGTACGTGACGGGGGAGGACACAGCTGTGACGGGGCAGGAGTACGAGTATGTCTATAAGGACTTTCCCGAGGGAGCCGAGCCATCAGAGCTGGGGCCCGTGCTCTCCGCAGAGACCCCCCAGAACGGAGGCGTAAGTGGGGCACGGGGGATGTGTCCTCGGGCCCTTCCTCCTGCTGGCCTCTCTTGGATGGTCTTTCGGCGGTCGCTTCCTGTTTGTTGTGGTGTCACTTCCTGTTTGTGGTCTTTTGTTGGCGGCATTTCCTATTGTGGTGTCACTTCCTGTTTGTGGTCCTTTGTTGGCGGCATTTCCTATTGTGGTGTCACTTCCTGTTTGTGGTCCTGTGTTGGTGTCTCATGGTGTCACTTCCTGTTTGTTGAGATGTCACTTCCCATTCATGGCTCTGTGTTGTTATCGTTGTGGTGTCACTTCCTGTTTGTGGCCATTTGTTGGTGTGTCCTGGCATCACTTCCTGTTTGCCGTGGTATTGCTTTCTGATGTGTTAATTCCTGTTTGTTGATGTGTCACTTCCTGCTTTTCATGGTGTCATTGCTGTTTGCCATGTTGGCACTTCCTGTGTGGTGTCACTTCCTTGTTTGTGGCATCCCTGCCTCCTTGTCAGCATTTACTGTTGTGTCATGGTCATTTCCTGCTTGGCATCCTAGGGGTCATGGCTGTCCAGTGTGGCATCACTTCCTGTTCACTGCCTTCACTTCCTGTCCAGTGTGGTGGTCGCTTCCTGTCTTTAGCAGTCCTTCCCTGCACCTCACTGATCATTGTGTCACTTTCCCTCCGCCGTTCCATTTCCTGTGATGCGCTTCCTCTCTTGTGAGGTCACTTCTTGCTCGGAGTGACATCAGCACCCTCTCCCCCACCTCGTATGTTCAGAGATGGGCATGTCATGCCCCGATGGCATCGCACCGGATGTTGTAACCTTGACATCCTCTGCCTTGGCAATGCCCCTAACCCGCCAGGGCATCCCCACTCTGTGATGTCATCTTACGCCCTGTGATGTCATCCCCATGTACAGCCATCTCTGTTATTCACCCACCTCCCCGAGTATTGTCAGCGCTGGTGTCAATTACCGATTTGGGGGGATAACCCCCCAAAGGGGTGCGGTAATTCCCTTCTCCCCACGCTGCCATCTCAATGGGGCTGGGGATTTAGGGCCAGGGGCATCTCCAGATGTGGGCCTTTAAATCTCTCCTCCCCATGACCCCCTCCCCTGGGGTGTGTTTCACCTGGTGATGTAACCTGTCCTCCGTTTCCGTTCAGAGCCGCTGTGGGTTGCGATGCATTGATTAGCTCAGAGCTATCAAAGCATCCTAACTCAACAGGCCCAGAGGCTCCAAGGGGGCTGTTAGGGGTGAGGATGGGCTCCAATGAGAAACGGCAGCCGTGTCTGCCTAGGTCCCAGGAGGGTAACTGAAGGGTTGGGACAAAATCCTGGGGCCTTACACAGAACCTGCCCCAGGTTTACTCTAGCTTTACTCAGACTTTACTCCACATTTACACAGACTCTGCTCCACGGAAATGCAGACCTTACTCCAGTTTCACTCAGACTTTACTCCACATTTACATAGACCCTGATTTGCATTTTCTTCACCTTTACTCCACTTTTATTCAGACCCTGCTCCATTTAAATGCAGATTTTTGCTCCATGTGTACTCCATTTTTACTCAGACTTTACTCCACATTTACACAGCTCCGTTTTCAGAGCTTTCTCCAGTTTTACTCAAACTTTAGTCCTATTTTACTCCGAATTTAGTGAGATGAGCTCCACTTTTATTTGCACCTCGCTTGGACCCTGCTCCATTTTCACTGAGCCCTTGCACCAGTTTTGACTCAGACTTTACTCCACTTTTCCTCAGACCATGGGGGATAGGGAGCCTCCGTTAACAGAACCCGGGGTGGTGCGGCTGAGTGGTGCTGGATGAGCCCTGCCTCCTGGTGTGGGAGCTGGGATTTGCAGGGCTGGGAGGGTGCCAGAGTGGGGCCTCGGGTGCGTTATATTGACCGGGCCCCTCTTTGCGGTTATATGTGTGTTACCCTCAGGCTGTGCGCGGAGTCAGAGGCTACAAAGGAGAGAAGGGAGAGCCGGCCGTCATGGAACCGGTAGGTCCCTGCGTCGATGGGTTGGGGGAGACCAATTGCTCCCACCAGCCCCTCCATTGTTCGTGCCTGGATGTTGCCCATCTCTGCATAGTCCAGGCCCTGGGGTGCCCCACCCCATGCAGCCCCCCAATGCACCCTGTGGCAGGAGCAGGATATCCTGCTGTGCATGGGACAGAGCCCCCCCAGCGCCTCCTGTCCTATCTCAGCCCCTGCCCTATTCAGGGATCAGTGCGCCCTGCATGCCCCATCACAGGTCACCTGGGCCTGGAGCCCCCCCGGGGTTGTGTGTGTGCGATGGACGTAGTGATCTGTAGTTTGATGATAGGCACAGAGGAGTGTATGTATGCGGGGGGGCAGGGTGCGCATGGCAGGATGGGACATGTGTGCGTGTCTGCACACACCTGTGTGAACAAGCATATATGTATTGTCACACCTTAAGTGTGAAAAATCATGTGTGTGCACATATGTTGCATGTGCCTCTGAGTGTGTGCATGAGTTTGCACAGGCCCCTGCATGCAGATTCACATTTGCATCTGTCTGTCAGTGCTTGCACCTGTTCCTGTGCACAATTGTGTATGCGTGTGCAAATGTGTATTTGCGAGTGCCTGTGTTTGCACATCTAGTTTGCATGTAGGTGTTAGTTCCCATGCGTGTGCATCTGTTACACACCATGGCGTGTGTGTGTGTGTATTTGCACACCCTGGTGCATGCATGCCACCGTATTTGCATGTTTGGGTTAGTATATGTCTGTGTGCGTGGGACGGTGCACGGTCATGTGTGCACAGTCCATGGCCCTCTCTCCTGATGGGGGGAGTGGGCGAGGGGTGTGGATGAGCCAGGAGATCCTCCCCCTTTTCAAACTCAACTGGGCAGTCCCCAGTCTCTCTAGGGCACCTCATGGCCGGGGCCGTCTCTGCCCAAGGCCTCCTCAGCTGGGGGCTCTATTCCCCCCCCGCCCCCGGCCCGCTGTGCCCTCGCCCCACCCGGGCCTGTCGCTGGCGTAACCCTGTTCTCTGCCTCTTGTTCTGCAGGGAATGCTGGTGGAGGGCCCCCCCCGGCCCTGAGGGACCTGCGGTAAGAGCCTGTCTGTCTGTCAGTCCGGGGAGTTCTGGGGGATGCTCTGGGGCTGGGGGCAGATCCCCCTGCTGGTGCATTAACCTCACTGTGCGTCTCTCATGTGTTTCCTCAGGGCATATCGGGGCCGCCGGGCACACAGGGCCCCCCGGGACCCACAGGAGATCCTGGCGAGAGGGTGAGTGCGAGCTGGAACCTGGCCCCATGGCAGGGGTTGTGGGTCCAGCATCAGCTCTGGGGGAGACCGCGGCCCCCCTTCCAAGGGAGGAGTGAGTGGGTGTTTGCACAGGGAGATGCGAGTGTGCGCTGGGGTGGGATGTCATTGTGCCCCCTTGGCTGGGGAAGGCGCTGTGCGTGTGAGTGCCTGGGAGTGTGCATGCGTTAGCATGTGTGATTGTGCACGTGTGTTCATATGCAGCGCCGATGGCCTGGGGTGTTTGGGGATAGACCAGAGATCCTGGCAAGGGTCAGTGTGTGTCAAGGTGCTGGGAGAATATGAGACTGGCACTGTGTGGGCGGAGATCGGCGCATCGCTGGGGGAGCTGTGGGTGCTGAGAAGGGCAGGGGCAGCAGCAGCACTGTCTGAGGGGACGATCGGACCCCCCCCCATGCAATAACCTCCCGCTCTGCCTCTCTCTCCAACAGGGTCCTCCTGGCCGTTCAGGTCTCCCTGGCTCGGATGGGACGCCTGGACCTCCTGGCACGTCTCTCATGCTCCCTGTGAGTAAGGAGGTGTTTGATGGATAATGATGGGGCTGCTGCAGTCTGGAATGGAATGGGCTAACATAGGCTGATTAGGGTCTAGAACAGCAGGGGAAGGTGCTGATAGGGTAACCTAGATCTGGGGTGGCTCTGTGGGATCTAGAATAAAACTAGAAGAAATACTTGTGGGAGCTGGACCAAGGAAGTGTATGGAAGGTGAGGGCTCTCAGGTCTAGAATAAAACCAGGGGAATTAATTGTGTGATCTAGAACCAGAAAGGATAATGTGGGTTTGTGGGTCTTGAATAAATCAGGGAAGACTCTCATTGTGTTACCTAGAACTAGGGATAATATGATGTGTCTGTGGAAGTCTAGGGCAGGCATGGGGATTCAGCTAGCAGTATCCAGAACTAGTAGGTGATACAATGGGTCTGCGGGGCTCAAGAACTCAGATACCTAATTCCGTAGACTATACAGTGGGCCTGCAGGGTCTAGAGTAAAACAAGAGGAACTCTGATAGTATGGCCTAGAACCAGAGAGGATAGATGGACCTGTAGGGATCTAAAAGGGACGAGAGAACAGAGATGGTGTTACCTAGAACTGGGGAGGATACAGTGGGTCAGCTGGAGTCTAAAACAAAAAGGGGAACTCTAGTACTGTGATCTAGAACTGAAGATTGTAGAGTGGATCTGTGAGGATCTAAGATATGGGAGAGAGGAGGCTGACTCGCTTAGCTAGTCCTGGTTAGTATGTAGGGGGCTATTTCAATGTAGAACCCAGAGAGTAACTCCTAAAACAGAGGTATGTGAGAATATAAATCTGTAACAGATGAGATGGATTCTACAAATATTACCTAAAACCAGAGAAGATGTCTAGGTCTAGATCAGAAGAAAAACCTGTGATCTAGAACTGGAGATTGCACAGTGGATAGGCCTGCATGGAATCTAGAACAGGACAGGAGGACTCTGGTGTTGTTCTCTAGAAATGTAGATAATATAATAGGGATATAGGAATTTAGGATAGAAGGGAGAGCTCTCATAGCGTGATCTAGAACTGGAGAGTACAGTGAGTTGAGAACCGAAAGGCTAGTGCTAATAGCATTATCTAGAACCAAAGATGATGCAGGGAGTCTATGGGAGTCTAGAACAGAAGGGTGAACCCTGATAGCATTACCTGAAACTAGCAAGGATATACAGTGAGCTTATGTGAGTATGGAACAGAAATGGGCACTCTAGTAGTATTACCTAGAACCATAGAGCATGCAGTGGATATGTGTGAGTCTAGACGAGAAGGGGGAATACCAAGAATGCAGCCCGGAATTGGATAGGTTGCAGTAAATCTCTGGGAGTCTAGAACAGGCCAGGGGAGCTCTGGCAATGTGATCTGCCCCCCCCCCCCGTCGTGAAGTGTGAAGGACAGAGCCGGCCTTGGGATCTAGAGCTCTAGGAAGGGCTCCGGGCATGTCTCCCAGGAGCCCAGTTCTGGGATGGCGGCGTGAGTTCTGGGATGGCGGCAGTGTGATTTTCACAGCTGAAGGTTTGTCGTTCGTCCCCTAGTTCCGGTTTGGGAGCAGTGGTGGAGACAAGGGGCCTGCGGTGTCAGCACAAGAGGCACAAGCGCAGGCCATCTTACAGCAAGCCCGGGTAAGTCCAGATGGAGACAGGGCAGGGAGAGTTGGGATGGGTCAGGGTAGGGGGTCCAAGGAGCCTGGAAAAGATCCTGGCTTATTTTCTTCCCTGGAGCCCTGATAAATTTGGTAATCGAGAACCCAGATACCAATGGGTTGTCACCTTTCTAGAGCCTCAGTGGGATCACAATTTATTACCTTTCTAGAACCATGTTAAGGGTCACTCTTTTATTGTTCTTTAAGATTCCATACCAAATAGTGGTCAGTGCCCTTCCAGAGCTTCCCCAAGGTCACAATTTACTGCCACTCTAGAACGGCAGGATAATGGTTTGTCACCTTTCTAGAATCTCAGCAGATCCGTTTCTTATCCTTCTAGGTTCATTTATAACCTTATGGTTAAGTAGCTCTTCAACAACATCTCAGTGTACTGCCCTTCTAGAACCAGGACGAGATTACAATTGACTGCTCTCCTGGAACCACGGGGGTTACAATCTATGCCCACCTAGAACCCTTACAAGTGTCACAAAACATTTTACTGCATTTCTAGAACCCCAAGACTATCATGGATCATTGCCTTAAGACTGTGATTTGATTTATCTTCCCTTCAAACCTCAAACCTTATTAACCCTCCCGAGTGCGGAGCAAATCACAGTTTCCCCTGTTCTAGAACTCCAATGAGGCCCCAACTTGTCACCCCTCTAGAACCCTAATTCTAGGACCATGTTTGTCCCCTTCTAGAACCCTGCTGACATCACAATGTGCTTTTTCCTAAAACCCCAGGAAGTCTGTAGCTTCATTTCTAGAACACCTAGTGTCGCTGTTTTCCCTCCAGTCTATCGATGCTGATAAATTCATGTTTTATTCCCCTCTTAGATCCCCAACTGGGACCCCGTTCTTACCCCCCAAGCCCCAGTAATTTTCTGGATCCCCATGTTTCCTGTTTAGCCCTGTTCTGGTCCCAGCCCTTATTCCCTGCTTTGTTCTGTGTTTGGCTGGGATCCTGGCTTGCTGCAGTCTAATTCTCCTTCTCCTCTCTCCCCCCCAGATGGCCCTGCGTGGCCCCCCAGGACCCATGGGATACACCGGCCGGCCTGGGCCCCTGGTAGGTACCTGCTCTGGGCCGGGGTTGGGAGGAGGCATCGCTTGATGGCTGGTGCTTTGGGGATGTGGGAGTGGGTGTCAGGGCTTAAGGGGACGTGTTGGCTTGTCCCTGGGGTGGAACACGGAGTGCTGGAGTCACTAGGGCTTCATGTCCTTGTGTTTCCCATGCTCTGGGCGTGTGGGGCTGGTGTCACTGGAATGTCACGTCCCCAGGTTCTATGGGTCCCAGTGCCCTGGGGTGTGGGGCAGGGGGTGGGGTGGGGGGCTGGTGTCACTGGAATGTCATGTCCCCAGGTTCTGTGGGTCCCAGCACCCTGGGGTGTGGGGCAGGGGGTAGGGCGGGGGGCTGGTGTCACTGGAATTTCACGTCCCTGAGTTCTGTGGGTCCCAGCACCCTGGGGAGATTGTGGGGAGGGTTGTGGCCCTGAGCCCATGTGCTGCCCCCATGTAACCCCCTCTGCTCTGCTGTCTCATTCCAGGGGCAGCCAGGGGGCTCCGGGCTGAAGGGGGAAGCCGGAGACTTCGGACCCCAGGTAACAGGCTTGGCCTTGGCAGGAAATTGGGGGGTTGGAGCCCAGCACGACCCCGACTCTGACCCCTGGCTCCTGCCCTGACCTCTTGCTCCAACCCATGGACATGACCCCTGTCACTGACCTCTGACCCCTTCACTCTAACCTCAGGAACCTGACCCCTTCACCCTGACCTCTGACCCCTTCACCCTGACCTCTCTCTCCAGCCCATGACCCTGGTCTCTGAACCTGGCTCCCAATCATTGGCCCCTGACCAGGGTGAATGACCCGTGACCCCCACCTCTGGTCTGTGACCCTAACTCACGATTAGTGGCCCCTGACCGTGATGTCTAACCCTTGACGCTGGCAAGTGACCTCTGACCCCTGGTTCGACACTGAATTTATTCTGGGCTGTTTGGATCACAGGCTCCTGTGACTTATGACCCTGACCCAGAGCCGGGGTCGCTGCTGCCCGCCCCTCTGTTTACCCTTTGTTACCGCTCTCTGCCACCCCACCCCTCATTAACCCCTCAGACACTGGGGAAGAAACCCCCCCGTCTGACCCCATGAGCCCCGTCCCACCCTGGAACCTAACCCTGATCTGACCCCCCAGAATCCCCATTAGCCCCTCAGGCCCTGGAGAGCTCCCACCCCCATTTCTCCCTCTTCTCTCCCACCCATGCTGCTTGTGGGGGAAGCTCTGTTCACCCTTTCCCTCCCTCTCTCTCTGTAGGGACCCCGCGGGCCACAGGGCCTGTCTGGCCCCCCGGGGAAGCCTGGAAGGAGGGTAAGTGTGTGGATCCTGACGGGGATACCCCAGGGTGGGGGCAGTTCTGTGCCCGGAGAGCCTCCTCTCACCCTGTTTCTGTGTCTCTCTGGCAGGGTCGTGCTGGAGCCGATGGTGCTCGGGGGATGCCTGGGGAGCATGGCGTTAAGGTAACGGGTCATGGCTTCTGTGGACAAGGCACTGGGTGTGAGCTGGCCTCCTTGGGCTGGTGATCCACTAGGTCCCAGCACTGTAGATCCACAGATGATCCAGTAGGTCACTGCTCTGGTGACCCACTGGACTATAGCAGTGTTGATCCAGTAGGTTGCGTTGCTGGTAATCCACTAGGTCACTGCCCCTGCGAATCCACCAATAGTCCATGAGGTGAAGGCATTGAAGATCACTAGATCACCTGAGCTGGTTATCCACTGAGTGTGCATGAATCCAGGGGTAATCCACTCTTCTAGTAACTCACTCATTCAGCATGACGATCCATTAGCGATCTAGTCATTTGCTGTGTGAGTGATCCACTCAGTGTGTACATGAATCTCCTGGTGACACACTGTCCTGGTAACCCACCCACGCAGCGTGGTGATCCTCGTGCACCAGAGATCCACTCTAGCACGTTGGAGACCCACTAACTCAACCAGCGACCCTCCCGTTCCGTGTGGGAACATCACTGCTTCAGAACAGGGATCCCCGGGGGCCCACCCTCGTTCCCAGTGGGGATTTGCAGCCCACCTCCCGGGGATGGGGTGCCCTGGCTGGGAGGGGGTCCTGCAGGGGCGTCTCCCCAGCTGGGGCGTGCTGGCTCAGGGAGCTGTTCTGTGCTTCTCTCTGCAGGGCGACCGAGGCTTTGACGGGTTGCCGGGGCTGCCGGGGGACAAGGGGTACAGGGTGAGTCACGTTGGCCGGGTGCCTCGTGGTGGTGGTGCGGGGGGGACAGTCCTGGTGCACTGTTGGGATCTCCCTGAGAGATGGGGCCACCCCGCGGTCAGTTCTGGCCAGCCCATGTGTGCGCTACACAATTGTGCACCCCCCTCTGAGCATTGATACACACACAACTGTACATCACACAGCCAGAGCCGCTGCCCCCCCTTCGCAGTCACACGCCGCCTACCAGCACACACGAGCGTATCTACACACACAGATATACACAGTCTAGTTCCAGCAGGGCTTGTTTCGGGGCAGACCGACGTCCGGAGCGACACAGGGGCAGCCGAGCCCTTCTGGCCTCAGAATCTACTCACAGTCTTACGCACCCTGTGCAACGCACACAGCCACAGCCACGCGGAACACTACACATGCACAACCACGCACATCCCCACAGCCGTGTCACCACAAACACAGCGCACCGCGCAGTACATACACATCCTCCCACTTGTGCAGCCAGGTGTGTGCAATCACACAGTCACATAGACACAACCACGCACACGCTAACGTTCTCCTAACTATCTGTGCACACACTCAGATACGCAACAATACACACAAAGCCACTGCATTCACACACAGCCCCACACACGTGCAGTAACACAAACATAGTACACACAGCACACCTGCAATTGTGCACATGCACACAACAACACAGCTGCACACAGTTCACAGCAGAACACATACACATCCGGCACATTTGCGATGCACCCCCCACCCTGCAATTACATACTCAGTCACACTCACCCCACACGGCACATGCAGCCGTGCCCCCATCACACACACAGCCACCCCTAAAGCCCCTGCGCATCCCACGTACACAACCCCCATGGCTCCCCACCCAGCTGATCCAAGGCTTTGTCGCTGCAGGGTGAGACGGGTTCCCAGGGCATCCCAGGCCCCCCTGGTGAGGACGGGCAGCGGGTGAGTAACTGCTCACTGGAGGGTCTGGGGGGTGGGAGGGAGACTGAGGGGAGCTGGGGTGGCTCCCTGGGGAGGGAGATGTGGGAGAGCTGAGGGGAATGGGGAGATGGAGGGGG